TTTCCTTCTATTGGAGTTATGTTCCAAGTGACAAAAACCCAACTATAATATGTAAATTAATTCTTATTATTAGCATTCACACTCACTAGATATGTCTTTCGACAACAACTGATAATTGTAAGATGTTCTGCGTTTCTTAAATGAATATTTCATAGGATTCAACTCAACTCCCGAATATTACAGGAGTCCTGTTCTGTTCTTCCGATACTATTTCATAATGACGCTTAACTAAACCATTCTAGGAAAGGATGAAGTCAACAGGAAAACTTCAATTAAAAATGCTAATAAAAGATCTACTAAATTGACGAACTGTACAAAAGTGTATTACATGTTTAATTTTTTAATGGATATCCTATTATAATTCCATGTACTGAAAACTCGTCTAAAGCCTTGAGATATTTAAGTACAACTTCACCTGTCTTAATTAAAATTCAAAAGCTGTCTTTACCTTATGTGTTTGTGCCAGAGTTTGAAGACTGAGAGCTTCTCTAGTACGGCTAAATGTGCTCTTAAATAGGCTTACAACTTTTCGCTCATAATGCGATTTCTTATAGGACCTCTTTGAGGTCTTTTATTTAACATTCTCAGTCACATCCTCACATGAGATTCTTATTGCTTAAATGGTTTTAAGAAAAATAACTATTTACAAATTATTGCGATATTTTCTTTATTCTCTTATAAACGTGTTTTTGTAATCAATTTCGTAATACACATATTGCAACCTTTTGATTAAAGATATATTCAAGTTATTTCAAAATAAATCTGCAGCTATACAATTAGAAGCTTTACGCTTCACTAAATAGCATTCATTATTGATTGAACAAATCGTTTCTTTCATATTCAAATAACAAGCTGATACTGAATGAATAAAAAGGGACGGACCCCCAGTGCCAGATACAACTGTCCAATAAGTCGTAATGAAAACAAACGTAGCTACAAACGCGACCCCTGTTTACTCCCTATATACCTATTTATTTCTTTCCGATCAAATGAATGTTTTATTGCCGAACTAAATAATGTTGCCAGTGTATACTTATATTTGTGTATTTTTTACCAGTATGGGATGTGGAACTTTAAATGATGTTATGCCTTACCAATAAGTACTGGTTTTAAAATTAAAGACGAAAATGGAATCCGCAAACCAAGCCATAAAGGACCTCTGGCTAAACTATTAAATTATAGCTGTTGTTCGGGAATTCGTCTGCGTGAAATTAAAAAATAATAAAAATGTAGCCTATGCTACTCACTGATAACGTAGTTTAATAACGGTGATTTTTTTTAATCGGTCAAGTAGTTTTTGAGTTATTTCAATTAATATAAAAATCCAAATCTTTTCTTCTCATAATAATATGATTAGTGAAAGTAGTAGTGTGTTGTTGGTAACACATAAGTCATAATTTCTCTAGGATATATTTATTTATTAAGTTATGAAAATTATTATTCTGAATATTAGTTCTGTAATAATGCTAAGCAAACAATTTATTATAATCTTTGTTTAGATATAAATGAGGTCAAGTGCAAAACGCGAGTGTGCGTGCCAAATTTGCGCATGCAACGTTACACGAATTTACTAATCGCTGTTCATTACGCACTGTACAATAAAGAACATGTTATCCACTTGAGGTGAATTCAATCTGATCAATACCGTTAGATAGGAAGTAGCCTAATTACATTTAACATAGCGGATATTGCTCTAATCGACAAAATCTGATTTTACATGTTTCATTTTATAAATAAAATATGAATATATTAAATTTTATTCAAAACTATCTCATATTTCCACACAAAAGCTGTACCATTAACGGTGGTGCACACAAAAATTTTTCTCAAAACAAACAATATACAACATAGACAGTATTAATTCCTTAATTATTTCTTATTTTGTAGTTATTAGTGGCGGGATAGGAACAAGAAAAGCTGGTAGTAAATAGAAACTGTTTATATATAGTAGCATTCAGGTAGGCTTTTACTCGTGTACATACCGCACTGAAATTGCGCCCGCTAAGTTGGCAAAAATGCAAAGCCCGACGCTCGGGCGTGTTGTCGACGCGAAATTACCATTTCAGTGCAGCCTACGGACGAATGAATATGTATCGAGACCGGCTCGGAATGTGGCTGCCCGGTTTGATGGCAATTTTGTTAGCGACGCCGAAAATACATTTAAATATTTCGATTTGTATACAACTCCGCTCATGATGGATATGCGTTGAGTTATGCATTACATTGGTTATCGTATTACGAGTAGATGAACGTACAATAAATTTTTTAATAGAACGTCCAACTTTTATGGACATTTCACATACATTTTGTGTTGTAGTCAGAATGATCTGACAGAGCACGGAGCCCCGGAGCAAATAGAATTAAACTTTGTTAAACGTTGCGTTGCTATCCATTATGCGCGCGACACACTGCGGCCAAACTTCCGCGCTCCCAACCTCGACGAACTGGTGCACAGTACTCGATTCCGACAGTTAATGTTGTTACTGTTCACGCCGAGGATTCGGCGCCTGATTTAATGCGATTAAAACACTATGCGCCCCGATTGCAGCCCGAGATGCAGATATGGAACAAAACGGTACCACACAAACTATTGCTACTAATGTAGAATCATGAGTAAATGATTTGTGTATTGATTTTTTTACGAGCATAAAAAATATATGTCAAGCTATCCAAACCATTTTATCTTAAATTGTATGATATTATACAGATCGAAAAGACATATTTGAAATACATTATACCTTAAAATAACAGAATTTAATTCAGTTAATCTTAGAATTTGGTATTATTGCACAAAACTTCGTCAATAGCACTACTAGTCTGATCAATAGAGTTCATTTTTGCATCGTCAAAAATACTTCAAGGTTGTTTTAGCGCGAACGTTGTTCCCATTACATAATAACGAATGAATCAAATTTTGATTGTTGTTTATCAATTCTATGAATAACGACGCCCTCTTCTGAACCAATTCAGAAATATTTATCGTCAATAAAGTTCAGAGAGTCTATCTCGAACAATTGGGTAACAGTTGCGAGTATGTGGAATACATACGTAGGCGACAAAGTTTATATGAGATTTGTTGGTGTACTATACGTCCGGTAGTGGCACTGTAAAAATTAATACAAATTTTGTCGATGCGTTACGAAAACCATTCCACGAATATTCGTGATAGGCATTATTTTTGCTCGAAGACTTATTGGAATCAAAATACTATTCGTAAGATTAAGCTACGCTTTTCTGTTACAGGTTAAACGTTTGTTAACAAAGAGGTATACTTTTTAATTCATTCAATAATTATGATGATTACCTCACAATACTGCAAAAATCAGAAGTGCTTTTCAGCTGATTTTATTACTATTTTGAGATAATTCGAGATGAAAACTTGGAGATCATGAATAACGTAATGTTTTACTATTTTAACTTATTTATAAGTGTAAAGACACCGATAGAGGTAGACGTAAAAAGCGATGGATGGATTGCTTGAAAGGTACTACGACTAAAAAGGGAGTGGTGACTGAGATGACTGATGATAGTTTCTTGTAGGACGAAAACCCGGTGCGCCGAACCTGTGCGAGTAAGATAAGGTAGAGATGATGGGTGTTTTACTATTTTTTCGGCATTTATACAATAATGTACATAAATAAATCGATTGCGTGTATACTGAATGCGGACCGCGTACACTCCATGCGTACCAACGTGAACAAGGATTACGTAGTTTACTGAATCCGATTTCATCCTACCGACACGAAAAGCGAAATCCTGACAAATAATCACTATACTAAATCAAGATGAAAGACGTATTTTTTCCTCTGCGAAAACGTGAACTAAGAATTCGATATATTTTTCCTTTCCTCTTACCTATATTTACGTTTATTGTTATTTAAATGCCGTAAATTAAGTTATACCATGAAAAATATGTTTGTATCGTTACGTATGTAATAACATTACATATTTTGGTTATGTACATATTAATTTTGGCGATATTAAATTAAATATAGTGTAAGATAATAAGAAAATAAATTAAATATTATATTATAGGGAGCTTAAATATTAAGTTTTATAAAGCTTAGAATCATGTAAGTTTCCTTTGCATATTTTCATTTCATTTCGAAATCATATCAAACACATATTTTTTGACAACATAACCAAATCCTTGCTTCTTTAAATGCTTTTTTTATATCCTTAAAACTTCGATGTAGGTAGTCGACGTAAGAGGATGTTCACACCGTCGCGTATCCACGCGGTGACCGCATCAAGATAATGTTCGGGAAGTGATTGTATGTCAGTGTTTTATAATAATGACTTTAAAATTACAAAAAACCTGCTATCAATTCTCCTAAGCGTGTTTTTGCTTAATTATTTGGTAACGTTCACAATTATAGGCGATAACTTGATATATTTACCGGTAACTAAGTCGATATTCCTGTAGTTCATTTTATACCTGTCAATTTTTTTTCATAATTTATAGCGGTACTTGTTTTTATTATTTTCATAAGTTGCAATATCTCAATTAAAATATGATATTGTAATTTAAATCTTAAATACATTAACCAGTATTAAGCCTTTATCTACGTGCCATATAAACGTTGGTGTTCCGGTCCGTATGATTGCAATCATCCGTAAATACATTCTGGCCTTCCCATATTAATGAAACTAAGGCCAGGAGTGATGTATATGTTTTTCCTTGTTTATTTTCAAGAAAACATTGACGACAATTCGTTGTTTTATGTCCAAAAACACACTCGTGGAGTCAAAATAATTACGTTTTACTCTGATTATCCTGTAAGTTTTAGCGAGCTTACTAATATTATAAATGCAAATTTAGATGTATGAATATTTGTTACTACGTAGCTCCAGAACGGCTTAACTCATCTGGGTGAAATTCGACATAGAAATAGGTTACTGTCTATAACAGGACATAGGCTATTTATTTACTCGTTTTTCTTTCAAATTCCATGCCGATAAGTCCCGTGCGAAATGTAGTAATCTCAAAAATAACTTACCGTGTCGTCTGTGTGAGTAGGGGTCACTGACGTCACTATCTTTGTATATGACAGAGTGGACCCGGGTTCGAGTCCCGTTGGGGGGGAAGTATCGGCGGGCGTGCTCCACGTAGTACGTGCCGTCGTTTGTGATCATCTTCCCCTCGAACACACCTTCTGTCACCGAACCGAACACCGTTGAGTGTGGGTCGTCTGTAGACAAAAAAATAATCAGTAAAACAGTTCTTGTAATATTCTACCTTGATGAATTCCTTTTACTGTAGCTTATCTTTTCATTTTTAATAGCTAAAGCATAAATAAGATAATTTCTAAAATAGTTTCAGTATAACTGAATTCAAATAGGAAGCTAGCTTAAAATATGATCATCTCTTTAGATTTTTAAAGGCGTAAATTGAAATCTAATTAAAAACTTGAATAGGTTAAAAGTATTTTAAATATTCTCAAAAACATAATTTAAATCAAAGTGAAAGAACTTTTCATACGATCCTTGTTAGAATTCTGATACGAAAAAGCAAAAATGCTGCAATTTTAAGCAAGATTTTTCATTAATAAAACTTTCATTTTTAAGACCTTTAATGCTAATATAATAAAAATAATCCGCAATGTCCTTTACTATTTACATTGAACTTAAAGTCTAGACTAGAGATTTGATACGAATCGTTGGATCTTAGTAATATAGAAATACAACACTACCTACTTTCTTCAAAGAAAGTGCCTGCACTTTCACTGAAATTCAAACCTCATACAACGGAAAATAATACGTCTATTGATATATTAAGCTTATAGTTGTATCTATACTATTATAACAAAGCGAAAACAAAGCAAAAACACTTCTTTGTTGCCTAAGATCTCAGCACTTATAGCATATTTTTGAATAATTCTTTTTTTAATAACAGCCCTACACTAACGTCACGCTTTAGACTATATGTTTTTACGCCATTAAACTTAGAGGGTAAACATTTTGGATAAAAATCCTAATGTGGGAAAGAGACCATAAGTTGTTGCCAAAACCAAGGAAGCAATTGTCATTTGTGCATTTGAATTTTGACCGCACTGGAACAGCTAGTTATTAAATATTAAACTTCTTGCCAAAGAGTTGATAATTAAAGTATGTACCGTACAAAGTGTCAATATTTAGTCTATATTTCAGTAAGTAAAATGTATGCTATTTAAAAGGATCTCAGTGAAAATTGCGTAATATCGGATATAAATGATCATTGCTGTAATTAAAAGTCATGGCCACTTAGTATGGAACTTTTGAAACGTAGTCGTGAATTGTAAAAGCCGCATTAAAACGCACCAACGAATCCCTCTTATGTTGCTGAGCGAATGCGTAAATAGCCGTACGAGTACGTTTTATCGTTGCCATATACATTCAATTCATACGTCATCACTCGACAGATGAGTTTTCAAAAATAAAAAATGCTTGAATGTACAGAACTTCACATGTATAAAACAATACAAGTAAAATTGACACAAAGTCGTCATGAAAATAACAAAGTTTTACATTATAATCTAAACCGTAACACATAACTTTACAATGCTCATTATATGAGGTAAGAACAAAAACATTCAGCGGTAATATTTTCACAACGAGAGCCAACATAAACATAACCCAGAGTCCTTAAACAAGAATTCATACATTGCTATTTGTTTTATAAACAATACGTTTACATTGAAACTAACTAACGAGCCCAGTAACGTAGGATGTTACGTGGTAAATTAATTAGACCCTTTGTTATTCGGGACGCTTTTATGAAGACCACAAGCACCTGCGGTAAGGAAAATTAAAAACAATATTTGATTTTTTATGAAATATGCCTTTTAGTACAACTGTTATTAAACTTCTCGACGGTGTAAACTTTAAATATAGTTTCGATATGTAACAACAGACACACAGTTGGAGTCGTGGTCAAGCGCTGGTTTATTTATGTTAAAAAAAAACAGTCTTTTTAACCTTAACGACATAATAGACATTTTTCATAACTTGTGTTTCGTAATTATAAAAAATATCTAAACAAAAAGCAATATAAGAGTGTCATAAAAATACTAAATAAAAAAACAAAAAATATTTCTAAAACAAAACAACAAAACTCATCCCAAGAACACTTCAAACGTTACGTGACGAATAACTCAAACTGAAGATCTGAGATATGAGACTGAGCAAAACAAAATAGAACGTTCTACATTAACTGACCCGAAGTATTCAACAACACACATCGTTTATACTTCTTTTTTTACGTCTCATTAAAAAGTAATTAGTGTAACTTAATTTTGTGGCAGTCCATCATGATAAGGATTTACTTCTCGTGAAATTAATTTTCACACAGGTCAGTTTGCATTAAAAAGTAGTGTTGATGCGTGAACAGCTTGCAAGCGTATAGAACCAACATGTAGACAGATTTTCGGACCACTTTTGTTACTAAAAGATGATTATGTGACAAATTGACTACCGCATTTTTAAGGGACCTAAGGTAATCTTGTTTTAAAATACTGAGTCTAATTTTAATCTCAATTTATTCAAATTGCATAAAATAAGTCAAAGTTGGGGGTTGAAAACTTAGTTTAAATTTCATTTTCAATCTGATGTCCGACAAGAACAGTCAAATGTTTTAGGATTGCGATAATAAAAATAGTAAATAACTAATTAACAAGTACAACAGTATGCAATGTTACGGTTACGTCATTAGGTATTCTATTTACCCCTTTCGTTTTAGCATCAAACAAATGTTTCGGATGCCGTGTCCAAACAACATTACAGAGTAAATGAATAATGCCGCGGTGAGTCACATCGTTAGCAACCAGGTGACAAAGGGTTAGACACCGGCTATGGCAACTATGTATTTAAATGTATTATTATGGCCTGCTTCCTTCCTTATGTTAACTTTTACAATAATCATGTAATTCAATTTCATAACTGTCATTTGTTTAATAATTACCTTAATTAAAATATAAACATTCAGCAATTAATATTAATATAAGTTCGCAAAACACATTCCAAGGGTAATAAGGTGATAGAAATATGAAATTGGAATTAGAAATAGTAATAAAAAGTCGATCGTTCGAAAACGAGACAAAGAGAAATACAAGTGCTCTGAAACATGAAAATTGAACATTAAAGAAACAATAAGCAAGCTTTATCTGGAAGTTCAACGCCCGTCCGCTGCCAATTTCGATCAAATTGAAACCAAATTAGATTTTCTCAACCAAATATTCTCGTTCTCTAAATATTCCTAAAGCTGGTTATCAGCTACGAGTCTACGCAATTTCTTTGTGTTGTCTTGTTGTCAATTTAACTTTACAGTTAACATTATTTAGCATAATTATAATCTTAAGTGACTATGTCAACAATTAGAGAAAGGAGAAGAGAATTCACATTTTTTGTATTCTAAATAAGTGCTTTTCTTCCAAGTATAAAAATTACAAATCAGTTTATGTCTTAATAGTGAGCTGGAGATAACTAATATATGTACATAATCTTGATTCATTCAATTGATGCGACGAATACTTGACAAAGGTTGTTGACCTCATTCAGATATGCATAGAAGATTCATCCATAATCCATATCGAAGGACCACTCAGAAAATCTAGGTTAAACTGAGACTGTCCAAATCCTTTTTTCAAAATTGAAATATGATTTTATCTTGCACTAAAGCCGTTCAAAGTGGCAGTAGTAAATGGCGCGTCCGTTTGCAAATGCGTTTCTCGCTCCAGATCTTTTGTGATGCGAGTTAAGTTATGAAAAGCTCACCAAAACATGAGCTTTGCGAATTCACAGACATAAATCACGATAAGCTCCAACCGAATGTAACTTTAAACGTTAAATGTGCTAATACGACCAGAAAAAACCTTGTCGCGTCCATTAGGAAAATAGCTTTTTTGGCAAGGCCCGCCGTCGCTTCAACACTCGCCACTCGACTGAGACTCCTGATATGTCAAACATTTGCCCGCAGACCTTTTGCCAACTGACAAATATTAGCTGATTTCTTTCGGCTGGCAAATGCGCACTCCAGTTTACACGCAATTGCTATCATAATCCCTCTTATCTGTATTATAAAAACAGACTAGTTTATCTTTACGTTTTTATCAGCGGCAATCAATATTTGCTATGCCATGCGAAATTTATCTATATAGACCTGCAACTTATGTGACGATTTAAATATTGTAGTCTAAGAATAACAATCGCTGCAATAAAAATATCAACATTGGTTTAAAAATGTATGTAAATATCTAACTAACGCAACAAGGTAGGCATTAATTAGCTGTAAGGTAACAAAGGAAGCATGAGAGTTAAGTCCGTATAACGCATGTTAGAGCAGCGTATAAAAGCGTATCTGCGGAGCGAGCCCGCAGGCGGACTACCACGCTTGCGTGAGCGGCGCAATCGTTAATGTGGTTAGACGAACCCATTGTTAAAGCCATTGATGTTGGATTGTGAGCGTCGACCATTTGAAAGTGTATGGAGCTATTGAAGCCTTGTTACCTACCTTTTATATACGATGAAAAACGAATCAATACAAAATATCACAGAACAAAGGAACTAAAAAAAGCAAATGACACGGAGCTCAACTTCGTACCTTGTAGGAAAATAGACATATCGTTTTTAACGAATTGCTAGAATCGTAAGAATTCTGAACAAAATCGAGTAATAATTTTTAACAAAAATAAAGTTTGCTTATTTGCACTGTACTTTGTACACTACAAATTCTAACTAACTCGAAAGTATCAAACAAAGCATAAATTCTTTATTTAAAATGAAATTATAAGTTTTAAAAGAGAGCAAGTACTTGTATGTCTAAACTAAATTCGCATAAACGGTCCGTACTCTTCCCAGCGTTGTTAAATATTAAAGGGCCTTTAGCTCAGTGTAACAGCACTATAACTCCGCGGAGTTTTATTTACAACTAAACAATGCGATTGAATGAGAAGCAATTGAGACGAGACAATTGCTCGCTGCCGATTCGTCGTATGATATTGTTTCATTAACGAGCATGTGAAAAAAACAAGGCCAGACTGATTCTTTTATATAGTTCTGATTCTTATATAGTCCAATAAGTCTAGAAATGCCTACATCTGGCATATTCGCATCAACTATTACCCGTATAACAATTTCAATATTGTTCTTTCAGTTATTACGACAACATTAATCTGTGTTCATCGAACCCTGTTTATAATATCGGAATTCTGCGAACAAGATCATTATATTCGTGAAATCAAAAGGTAAATATTTACTTCAGACCTAGAGTTAAGAACAATTTCATGCTATCAACGAAACTAAAATGGCTACTTTGTAAAATTGCTTTTTTATGTAATAATACGCGTAGGAGTCATTTAAATGGTTCCAGTTTGATGAGTTTCAACAATTTAAATGGTAACGATTAAATCGTAAATCATCAAGTAACAAGAAATGTGATATGCCACTTATTAAAGCTCATTCACGTATATTTCAAGTGCATGCCGGTGTCAAATACAATCAGTGATTATGAGTCGGGTGTTCATTACATAGGTATTTTGATACGATACGATTTCTCGGAAGCGGTCGCCGTCATACCTCAACAATGGTAAAGGGTCCGACAACTTGGTATTCGTATCAGTACCTTATCGCAACACACGTCTGTACCTTGAGACCTTCTAAATTTAACTTTATTGTTTTGAATTTTTGTCATGATATATTAAACATATTTATCAACAACTGGAACATTTTATTTTTACTTTACTCTATTTTATTGTACTTGAAAGGTTATTAAGTGTAATCACAATGTATAAAATTGACAAAAAGTATTCTTTCAAAGTTAAATATTCCAAGTACATTTTGCAGACTTTTGATTGAAGTCGGAAAGTAACATAGTCTTATAGCGACATTATATTCTTGAAAGTAGAAATTGTTTTACGTTTTTCATAGTTTATAAGAGTGGAACTGTAGTTGTCGTTTTTTTTTCAATAAGTTGCAGGGTGACGGGGAGCCCGCGCGGTCCGAGCCAAGAGGTCAAGTCTCACTTCACTTGACTTGGAAATTCCAATGTGAAATTTCAAGTTAGGTTTCATTAATAAAAGTAATATAAAAATTTTCAGTTTCTATCTATCAAGACATTCGTGAAAATTACGACGATAGTTAAAACTAAAGGTAATATAAATTAGTGACATTTCTAACCTAAGTTGAAACATAAAAACACTTTTGAAGTTAGCTAAATGAGGTTACAGCTTTGAGATAAAAAAATGACGCCCGCAAAAGACACGGATTTACAAAATATTGTACATAAGATCTTTGACTGAGAATTGTACAATTATTAAATGAAGAAGTGTCAGTTTAAATCTATCTATCCAGTACTGTATTAATTGTATACATACAATTGTATACCGGGTAAAAGTTTACACTGGCAGCATACCGGGCGGCCGTAAATTTTCCGATTTTAAGGACTCTTGAACGCTTCATAGTCTTTCATTACAGCTTTAATTCCAAATATAAGGGGGAGAAAATATAGCTAAAAACAGACCTCCCAGAGATGGAGATATTTTTTTAAAAAACATTAAATGAAAATTGTTTTAAATAATGTTCTATTAAAATAACATTTTACTAGAAAAGTCTTAGAATTCCTAGAAATGCATACTTCTTCCTTAAAGCCAACAACAATTGGCCATAGGTTGTCTAGTAACATTTCTATCTATACTATTATAATAAAGCGTAAAAACAAACTTCTTTGTTGCCTAAGATGTCGGCAATTACAGTATATTTCTGAATAATCCTTTTTTTAATAAAAAGCCCTATACTTACGTCACGCTTTAGGCTATATGTTTTCACGCCATTAAACTTAGAGGGTAAATTATTTATTTTGGATAAAAACCCTAATGTGGGAAAGAGGCCATAAGTTGCTGCCAACATCAAGAAAGCAAGATTGCTAAAGTTTGTCATGTCATGTCATTTTGACATATGCTATTGATAATTTGACAAATGTAAACTATAAAATAAAATATTCATAATTTGATGCGGATGAAGCCGCACGGGAACAGCTAGTTGTAAATAAAACTGATCTCAGCCAATTTAACGTTCTATTCGGTGACCTCAGTGATTTCGGTTTTGGCAATAAATCGGTTTTGCATAAACATAATATTAAATATCCCTTATTCATCTATTCGTACGCCCACAGTAGCGTGGGTGATAAGTTACAGTCAACATAGTTTGAAATAATGTATATTATCGGTTCTGAACATATGAATTTAACTTCAGTGACGCCGCTTTGGCCCAAACATTTTCGCTTCGTCATTTAACGCGCAACCTCAAAACTCCACGCTAATTTATTAGTCAGATAACATGATTACCATAACATGATAAATTATTACTTCTAATTACAAGTAACGACAGGTCAGTAAATAAGTTTAAAAGTTGAGATAGGTATTTGATTCCATATTTAAATAAACGCCTTAACATTGTATTACTTTGACAAAAAAGAATATTTAATCTATTTTACTAAATTTCCTCCATAAAATATTCGACTTTAAAAGATCATAAGTCGCGCTATCTCTGTCTGACAAGAATAGGACAGACTTATGAGATTTAATTTAATGCTTCAAACAAAGGCATCATTAACTAATTACAAATGAGCATGAGTTTGTTCTCTTTCTTTGTTCTTATATTCTTATGTTATAATATGCAGAGATAAAATCAACAAAGAATTGTATTTCGTAATACAAAAGATTTCAGATGTTAGTAGGGCAACGTATGCGTAACAATTTCAACACATTTGCTTTTCATTCGATTGTTTTTACAAATAAATGTACGATAAAAAATCTGAATGTACAAGAACAAAAGAAAATTTATTGTTAAACATTTTCAAAATATTAACTACGAAACATCAAAATTAATGCAAAAAAAAACAAAAAGCGTGTTATATTACAATCGTATTTTAATTTAAAATACATCACAATTCACAGTTACTCGATAAAAGTGAAAGGTAATTTAATAAATTTAATACATCATATACATATTTATAATAAAAAGTCTCTCATCGTTGATTTATTAAATGGTTACAAAATTGTCACAAAATTCCCGTTGTATATACTATCTTATCAACACAATAAGACAAACAGAAAACAAATCTTCAACGGACGGGTGATTCGATTAACGGACGGACGTAGGACGGGTTGGTGCGAGTTGCAGGGAGTCAGTGAGGTAAGTAGGGCGACGAACTGCGGATCGATGGCACAGCGGTGCAACCGCGGACGACCATTGCCATTCCCAACAACTTTCTACCTGTACACGCACTTTGTAAACGTTGACGTAAAAGCTTCCGTTACCGAACTTTTATAACGAGCGACGCGCTTTTTGCAATAAGTGCTCAGGTATAAAGCTTTTGTGTAATAGTTCCGAAAATTGTGATCGTAAAATAGACACTTAACAAAAAAAAAACTAGCTTCAAATGTTTACATTAGAGTACGTAGTTATGTTACTAGAAACTTTGAAAGGAAAATCATTTATTTAAAAAGTATGTATTCAACAGTCGATCTCATGTAGTAATAGTAGAGGATCGAGGTTATATCATTGTAATGTATATAAATACATATCCAAGATAATGAATATACAACCTAAAATAAAGAGAAGACGCTGTTTCCTGGAAGACGACGACCTAGTTCATGTAACAGAACTTCTAAGAGTTAGCAATTTATATTAAAGATTATTTAGGTATCCATTTTTTGGCTCGCTATTTGGTAGCTATCGACTATCATAATTAAAAACCAGAGTAAATAAAAAAACATCATAAAAAAAATCTCGTTTACATTGAAATAAATACAGCCAGTATTTACCGCTACCGAAAATATCCGGATAATTCTCAAGTGGATCCAACCAGACGATGAGGTATTCAGAATGAAATTTACAGAAAAGTATTTATTCCGGAGCAAAATTTAATGAAAAGTATTTATTCGCATAGATATAATGGTCGGGTCGTTGGCATCGGTACGCTCGGCAACCGACTTTAAAAGTCGAGTGGCCGAAAGCTCCCAATTAGCCAGGACTTTGACGCCGTCTCGACGGTAATTGCGAAAAGAAATATGTTTTACTGCTCCGTTGGAATTATTAATGAAGATCTATCGAGACCTTTCAAGGGAGTTTGCCTTCAGCGATTCGATTATATGAAAAAAAATATATTGTGACGGCCTACATTTTGACATCTAAAGTTATTGCCTCAATAGAGGTTTTTTGTTTATATTTTTGTTAGAGGCCTTCTTTACTCTCACTTTATTTTTCGCTGCATATTTCAAAGATTCAATTACACGGCTAAAGTCTGCAGATGATTAATAACTAAATTTAGATCTGTGAGTTTACTTGGCACAATCGCAAAGTTCAGATACGTGATGACCTTGAAATATGAGTAAGTGATTAAATGCTGACTAACATATCGATTTTAAAAGTTAAAGATTTGTACTGTACGCTCTAATGGGAGATTTTGTTCCTACAAAAGATGGTTTCTTAACCATCTTAGATTTTAATTAGCACTTTTATTTTAATTTGTTTTATCGTAACAGTAATCTTTAAATAATTGCTCCTATGTCCTGCTAGGTCTCGGAGGTCCTATTGATATTTTAAATTGGACAAGACAATTCATCCGTTTTGATACAAGCTTAAATAAAGTCTTAAACACTTTCGTAGACACTTTACAAGTTATACGCGGGACACAAGTATGGAGACTTATTAAATTTAAACCGGGGGCGCGAGTGCAAACAATAGGGGGTTTTATCTTGGACGTGGCATAGATAACGTCGTCGCCCGCACAATGCCAGTCTGCAAAGCGTTGCAGTCAGTCCACAAGCCGTCACCCGCAAACTGACTTCAATTTAACTACACGAAATACTTAAGCTTAAAAGATGTTTGGAAATTTAACGTTCTTTGTGAATATGATAGAAATAACCATTAATTTGTGGCATCGATTGTAAATATTTAATAAAACAAAACACAAATATATTTCCTGGTAGGTCTTAAACGTTGGTAATGCTAATAAACCGTTAAAAGGCGAAGAAGAAACTGATCATAAGGATGTTTATGCAATTTTTATACGATGTTAAATCAAATAAATTGATATTGCGTGACAGCCCGAGCCTTGCTATAACCTTCTTAAAAAAGATACGTGTAAATGTGGTACTTACCGACCAAGTCACCGCGGTATATGTGAGACGTGTCCACATCGTGGATTTCGCCATTGGAACCTTCAACCTGCAACAATAACATAAAGTTAACGACGATCAAAATACACAAACACACAGACTATCGAAAAATGTATAGATACAAAATTGCAACAAAATATTCCTTTAGACTGCGTCTGGCTGTAGGTACATAAATAGCATTGTTAAAACCTAAAACAATGAGTCTGGTACAGCCTTTGATTTTTACAAGGACGGTGCAACGGACTCTTTATTTCGGGGCTTTGGGGGGAGCCGGGGCCTCGACCATTGTTTTGCCATTTTTCCTTAGCCGTGCTTTTATTAAACGGAGGCGAATGCTAGGTTTTGTTGCGATACTGGGGTAGCTAGCCGATTCTAGCAGACCTTTTACAGCTTGCAATTAATGAATGAACAAATGAAACAACAAACAATGTAAAGCTCTTTCAAATTCTAAGTGTATATGGTGGACAGTTTTAAAAATACATGCCTAAAAACTAAACAAATGCATTTATGACTTAATTTAAAAAAGGCCTGTTTTGGGTATTTCCTTAAACAACAAGAGCATCAGTGGAGTAATTCATTAAAAGAAAAGGTTTTGTTCAATATACGTAAGGAGTATTATGTAGCCCTGGGGGTATATTTGGGGGCGTGAAGGATATTAGGAGAGGATTTATGTAGCGCTGGCAGAAATTAATCGCGTGTCAGTGACCGCCGGCGGCGCAGGTGCTTTGAGCATCTAGCTACAAGATTTGTCTACGGAAAATCTACAAACAATTCCTAATGGTGAATGATAATAACTTTGATGATTTGAATAATGTACTCTAAGCAGGAGATTATACTAGAAGACTAAAGTCTTCTGATGATTTCCTTACTGCCGCAGTCAGAACAGTTGAGAGAGAAAACGTAAGTATACTACGAGACATACCTAGGAATCAATTAACGCTTCTGAGTGTAGTAAAAGTAGAATAATTAAGAAGGTTGAGTATGAATACCAAGTTTATTTTGCACGTCATTTTTAAATACACTTACCCAAAACGTTTTCCTTCATACTGGAATTACTATAAAGGCAAAAACGATCGAACATTACCTTAAAATCCTTACTAAAGGCGGAGAGGTCTCTCCTGAGTCGGAGATGGAAGCGTCGGTTGTGCGCGTGGAAGGCGATGCGCAGATCCGGCGCGTCGAGGGAGCGGCGTGTGCGCGCGTGCTGCGCGTGTACCGCGCGAGAGTCGTACTGCAACGACTCGTAGTGCTCCACGTAATCGCTTAGGCGACGAGACGCTGCAACAATAGAACATAGTATCACTTTTTATTACGTCATTATGCGACGAGATGATGGGGACATAAACCAGAAAGTGTTAAGATTAAATGTGAATGGCTACAAACGTAAAGGAAGACCGAAGAAAGTATGGATAGATTGTGTGAAGAAGGATATGCTTAAGAAGGGAGTGGATTCAGATATGACGGCTGATAAAAATGTATGGAAGAGAAGCACATACTGTGCCGACACTCCGTTAAGGGACCCTCCGTACATAAATTGTTTATAGATGCATCTGTTAATAAATATCAACGTTTACATAAACTAGTTGATTACATTTTAATGCACTTGATAGTTTTAAAATTGAAATCTGATAATTACTAGCTTAGCAAATCCTTCGATCTAAATATGAGACCCGACGCGGTCACAAAGAATGGCTTCACTGGCACATATCTGATGAAAGAATGTTAAGTACGTAGCACCTGGTTTTAAAACAAGATTTAAAATGACTTTATTTTCCGGATACATAATTAACCACTATATTATGGTATAAGCAAGAACAATCAGAGCTTTTGTTCCAAATGTTGTTTTGCTTTCTTATATCATAAACAAAAGTCAATTTCAATTGTGACCAAATAATAGTTAGTTTTGAAATAAATTCCAATCGAAATACATTGAATACTCAAAATTTTTTAATCTCTAATTGAACCCGCGCCGGAATTTATGAAACAGAAAGGAAATTCAATAACACTAATGAATATTGACAGCTGTCTTTGAAGCTAGGATTAACCGGGATTCCGGATTTTGCGGTCAGTTTTATCAATTCTATTTTGTCATAGTACGTCGTTAGCTTTCATCTTTGGATACTGGGAACAGAGTTTATTCGAATTTACAACGTATATTTTAAAAACATCACAGTTTTGTGTCACATCTAGAAAGTCGAAGTAAAATTTATGAATCAATGGTAAAGATTACTATTACTTTACCATCAGCCAATGATCGCTATAGTTATAAAACACTTGTAAAGCCAGTGAAATCGTTATAAAAAAAGTAAAACCACCGGGCTACCGTAAACTTTTTCAACTAATAATAAAAGCAACGATATTTTAACAATGAAAATCTAACTTGGTTCTCGCTGCCGTTGCCGTTGCCGTGCCGAATACAATGAAAAACTATCGAACAATTGTCGAAGTGCAATTGGATGTAGCGCGATAAAAAATAGGTTTAGGAATTGAAACGGCTCGTATTTTCTATTCAAGTAGGCCAATTCGAGAGGCACTAAATCTTAATTCCAGTCCGGCGGGCGAGCCGCGCGAACGCCTTTTTGCTGCCCTCGATTAATGGCCATTTTCAAACTTCTTACTATCATTATAACAAAAGTAAAAAACAAATTACTTCAAGTTTTTAAATTTCCTTTCATACAATGCCAACGAAAGTTATCAAAAATGGTCATTTATTTAGTGTCTAGTTATCAATCTAGCGATTGAATAAATTTACCCGACGTTCTTACGATGAAGGAAAACATCGTGATGCAACCTGCACATATCGGCGAAGAAACTCAAAGATATGTGTGAAGTCGACCAACCCGCACTGGGCCAGCGTGGTTGACTATGGCCTAAATCACCCTAATTTAGAGTAGGCTCCGAGCCCCTCGGTGGGGACATATAGTGAGCTGGTGATGATGATGATGATGATGATTGAATAAAACAAAATCCAAAGGGCCACTTGTATGCAAAAGTCGTACGACTTAATTGACGACCTTGATAATAACCATAAGCTGTTATCATTGTATAGTTTGTAGTCAATCATTTTGTAGATAAATTATTTTCTAAGGACGATTACGGTGAGGTTGCGGTGCGGATACTGGGCGTTTGCGGGACGTATACGGGGCGGTACCCACGAGCGTGCCGACCGCACGATCCGTGCTCTTCATTAACCGCGCCCGTTCAACGACTTTGTTTAAAACACCATTCGATTTTCCACGTTCAAATTTTTCTTTAACATTAATTATAAACTTTGTAAGAGCCAAAGTTGTGCACAAAGGGCTCTAACTTTGAGCCCGATTTACGAAACGCTCGTAATTTTAAAACGTAGATACTTTATGAAGACTGGCGTTTTGAGTTAGTTTTATTATGAGGCTCTTCCTTTTATTCATAATATTTTTTACAATAAAAGGGGGCAAACGAGCGGCGAGAACACCGAGGTAGTCCACGACGCTCATGGACATCCGTAACACTAGAGGAACCACAGATATTTGCGTGCATTCAGATAATACAAAGTAACACTATAGCTCAAAATGCAATTTAAATTACTATAATCTAATGAATTCATTTACGAGGTGTCACTGCGTGCCAATTAATATAATTCCAGTAATTCCTGGATTATACGTGCTCGGCATTACTGTTAATTCTAGTGAATGTATTTAATTTCAATTTGCATCACAATAATGTAATCTACTTACTTTAAACATTATTATTTCATTTCAAATCTCAAGCAGCATTATTTTGTTTAATATTTCGATATAAAGAAACGTGTTGAAATTAAATCTACATACAAAATATTTTACAGAAAAAAATTGTACTTTTGTACTACTACAGAATACAAATATATTGTCATAGTCCTCAAGATGTGTGATACGTGTACGGTCAACGACTAATAATAGCGTTGTCGTCTAGAAGGGAAATGGACCATATGCAGGCTTGTAACTATGCAAGTGTGCACCACATGTCCGCTATCCTTCTATAAATACATTTCACAACACAATGCATCTCGTTGCTAACTTATATTGATCTATCTGTGTTTATTTGGTAAAGTCTAACTAGTTAAGACATTATTATAATATAGTTTATTAATATTTTATTAACCAATAGTTAGTAGCAAAAAAAAAATTGAAAATTCATTTTTGTAATACGAGACGACTTGCAATAAATTCTGCATAAAATGCTGACAATGTTAAAAAATCCAGGCTTAGTGTTAAAATCCCTCTTGAAAAATTGAAACTAGGAATTTCTTGAAAAATCCTTTGTTACATTACTTTATTACGGTAAATTCTTGTCGGCAGTCGCTTTTATTTTGCACAGCAACACGTATTGCGATTCTTGTTACTTTTAAAATGTATTAACCAATTGCAATTAACAATTTCTTTCGTGTCGGCGGCACTGAATTAAATACGCTACGAAACTGAAAGCTAACTTCAGGCACGAAAACACAATTGTTAAAAGATATTCATTTAGAAAGTGAACCCATCCGTACAAAGTCGGTGCGGGTCGCTTGGTACATATAAAAAGTAAGAAACATCAATTGCATCGCATCGCGACGTCAATTAAATGAAAATAGCAAGATAGAGAAACCTTACATAAACGGTTAAAAGCGTTACAGAAAAAGAAATTAAAAGAAAACATATTTATTATAAGTTATGTTGACAAATTCAATTGGTCATTTCAAAATTACAGCAATACGCATTCACACTACCTTTGAATGTGGTCGACTAACTTAACTCAATAAAACACTACAGCTTAGTCGATTTCTTTTCATTTATTGGTTGATTGGGGTTATGCCTTATTAAAATCCACTCTATTCCTTATTCAGTGTTCTCTTGGGGTTGACTAAGCAACAAGCAATCGTGGTTTTCATTCTCACCACGTAATATTAATAAAGCGACTTCCTTATTACAGAGTTCACAGCTAACCAGTACTAGACGCAATGAAATCGCAATATCTTGCCACTTATATTACTCACCGTGAAATTACATAATAAAATAATGTTGGTACGTCTGAGATGTAGAGATCGGAGGACGAATATTAAATAAGCGAATATGTTATACCCTACGAAGAATTAGAGAAATATAGACAAAACATCAAACTCTATATAATGATTAAAAAAATGTCAGATAAGGAGGGTCGTAGTTGAGTGGGAGCTCCGAGCGTATAAGTCAAAGCGCAGCTGCCGAGTGAAATTTGAATGCAAGCCGGTCGGGGACGTGCCCGATTTATTTAGATCCCGTTCAAATAGATTCCCGGATGTCGCGCGCTGTATACAAAAGTATAACCATTTTTATCTCAGTTACATTTCTTGCGAGTAATAATTCTGTTTTACAATAAAGACAGATTTTAGTATTCAAATGAATGTAAAATGAATATTTTTTAGTACAACAGTTAAATTTATAGAATAGAATGGTTAAATCTAAATAAAAAGAACCATCAACATGCGAAAAGGAACGTATCAGTCAATCGATCAACAATTCCATTTAAAACATAACATTGCAATATAACTGGTAACCAAACCATAGGCATAATACTCGTATTTTCCGAAATACGTGCCTTATCAATTTATTAAATAATTAAATAACTAGCTTTAAGAATAAAAAAAACAAACTTGAGTAGGCAATGTATTCTTCCAGACTATCCTCTATATCTATAAGAAATTTAATCCAAATCCGTTCAGCCGTTTTAGCTACAAACTCTAACAATCCATTCATTCATCCATCTTAACTTTCGCATTTATAATATTAGTATGAAGTATGATTATTGAAATTTATTCCCAACGTTATACGACTATTATGCGGATGAAAATAGCTGGATGCAAGCCGTATAAACACAGACAAACGCAAATACCGTTTATGGCTTGTAATAAGGTCGAGACAGTTTTAACACAAGACAATGCACCACGCCACACAGAGCGTTAACTATAAATACTCCGTAGAATGAAATGGAATTAACTACCATACCTAGAGAAACAGTTACTTAATCTACCCTTAGTGAACATTTGACAATTTAACGATAATTGTAGTTTAATAAAATAGTAGTTTAAACCAGCAACAACATTTCACAGATGGTTTCAGTTCCGAAGAAACGAATGTATTGTATTTCGAAACGTGTTAAAAGTAGGCTTCAATAATTCAAATTATTTACGCTGACAATTAAAAAAGCGATTTGCATATTTGCATTCACGTTTATTTATCCGGCGAATCAGCAGAGCTATTTTGCCTTAAGCGTCGTGTCACTAGGTTAGTGGGCCAGGAGTC